TCCAGTCTCTTTTTCTGCCTCCTTTTTAAAATTTTTAATCAGTGAGTAGCTTCTACTTATCTCACATCAGGCTGGGTTCATATTGACACCATCATCTAGCTGCATTTCCAGAATACAGTGATTGTTTTAATCAATGTTTTATGAATGAGCTAATTAACTAAGGAATGGAGGGAAAATTGGGGACTACAAAAGACTAAAATGATAAAAAATTAATAAATAGAACTTAATGTGAAGTTTGTTTTTAATACTTTTTATTTAGAAACAATCATTATTTACATATAAATCCTAGTTCCCTCTTCCTCCCATTCTCCCATGCACCCCCAGCTAGGCCCCCATCACACCCCCATCCACTCCCCAGGAAGGGTGAGACCTTCCATGACAGATCATCAAAATCTGTCAAGTCATTTGGGGCAGGGCCTAGGCCCTCCCCCGTGTATCTAGGCTTTAATATGTTTTGTAATTTATACACGGGAATCTTCATGAAACTCTGAACTGTATGTAACCTGGATGTTTCCTTTCACCACTGAGATGAACTTGAAAATGGCATGGTTTACAAACTGACCAGATGTTTAGCTAACTCTGGATAGCCCTCAAATAGTCTTCTGTGGCAAAGATCATGACGGGGGATTACAAAAGGAACTCCCAAACCAACTGACTATTTTCAAGCTCTGCGTAGGATGCTCTTAATGAATCTTCCATAAATGGAAACCCACTGGCTCATTCATGGCTCTGTAGACCAGAGAGCAAGCCCGGCAGTATGGGGTTGTTGGTATTGCATAATGCTAAAACAAGCCTGCCAGAGGAAATGTACTCTTTTGTCCTTTCGGAAGTCATAAAGTCAAATAAACCAATAGAGGCTCTAGTGAAATCATTTGTCGTTTGAGACTGGGGGAGGGAGGCATGGCTGAAACTGAACCTCAAAAGTAGGAGTTGGTGTTCAGGAGGTTACTAGATAGAGGATAGCAAAAAATCTGGAGGAGTTGAGACAAGGAGACTTGCTTCTTAGTTCATTACTAACTAAATTGTCAAACCCAAGAACAAAGCAATGCTAAAGCTATAAGAGACACTAGACAGTGAGTTAAATCTACTCTCCATTGTCACTCAGTTCTATTCTCTGGAAAACGTTTGATAGATAAGAAAAGATGGAGAGGCTTGGAATAGAAGATTCTTGAATGGTGTAGTAACATTAAACACGGAAGTGGGAAATAAGCTCTTAGAGACAGAACTTCAACTATGCTTTTGAAAAAAATAGTATGGAAGCTTCAGAAGAAATTCCAGACTAGTGAGAAGTGCTAAACTGTAGGATTTATAGACTATTTTCAAGTACAGATGATTGGACCAGATAAGGCTAGGCAGGGAATGGAAAGAAGGAAAAAGACAAAATACAAAGAAAAAGGAAAATTACATGTAATTTCTTTTACAAATCAAAATAAAACAAAGAAAGGATGTTCCCATCTATAAAAAGCATGTTGAGGCTCAACAGACGTGTATGTGTGTCTCAGCCCCTGCAGATGTTCAGAATATCTGGAGATTGCATTACATAGGAATTGACTTTTAAAACCTTAATATGTTTGAAATCCTATCAGGAGGCAAAGGAGCAATAACTAATGTTAGGGCCATGAGTCTTTCATTGCTCCAGGCAATGCAAAAGGAAGTGAGAAAAAGGACTGAAAAGAGCTGTGTTCATCTTGTCCATCCTCTGTCCAAGCCACTGAGTCCAGAAATTCTGTGTGGGAAATGGGGCTAACCAAAGATTGAGAACTAACTATCCAATTTTGACCACACAGAGTTCTGTCTTTTTACTAAAGTGGATTTTTTTCCAAGTAAAGCACAGAGGTCCAATTGAACTTGGTGAAAACAAGTCTGTCATTCTTCAAAATCTTCTGGGTTTTAATTCCACACAGTAGTCTTGAGGAAGTTGCATCTACTAATTACTCCCTAATTCTTAAATCCATACCTCGTCTACTCATTTTTCTCTAAAATCCTCCGACCCTCATGTCCCTGTTTCTTAAAGAAACGATTAATTTCCATGATATCAGTGCAGGGAAACAACAATATCATGTCAAATTGTATTAGTGTTCTTGGTGATAAGAGTCAGAACAACCTGAAAGTCTTAGGGTCTGAAATATTTCAGATTCTGACTTTAAAAAAATGAGTTAAGAATATTTGCCTATTCTTTGACAGCTGAAACCACTTATCTCCAAATCCTACAAAATCTGAAAGTTGGTGAGCACTTCCATGAGAATTGGGAAGGTTTGGATTCAGACGATGTATTTCCAGGTTAGCAGTACCTGGGTGTTTGTGTGACTACGCAGAACAATGCAGTTGTCATTATTTTCCTGCTGCATCCACCTTCATGACATTGGGGTAATGGAGTAATCCTTATCACAACGCTGATGAACGAATGAGCATCTTGACCCTGTGGGGATGGGCACGGGACACCGAAGAGAAGCGTGGCTGGATGTAACCTCTCTGAACCTGTGAGCCAGACTTGCTGAAGGCAGACAGAACCCTCAAATGTGGCTTTCCAGGAAACTTAAAGTGAGCAGCAGGAGAAAAAAAAATAAAAGCGTGTCTCATTGCTTTCATATGGGTTTGTGTGTTGTGTTAGGAATCCTTCACGCCATAGCACTGGGTTTGGAGAAGTATTTGCAGCAGATTCTTAAAACATGGCTCATAGCATATTCAAACGAACAATCAGCCAGCCACTCCTTTCATCTTTGCTTCCTTCAAGCTGATAAATTGCCTCAGGGAAATGAAGAAACATGCTTCTTCTAAAGCCCTCAAGTTATGGGATGCCCTGGTGAACTAACAAGCCTGACTTCCCACTCCTCCACTCTCAGTTTGTCGATTGGAGTGTCTCACCTCAAAACACTCTAAAAAATTATCTCTGCTAAACAACAAAAAAAAGTCCATCATCTTAGAGGAAGTATTTTTCTCTTTTCCTTTCATTTTATCAGCTCACATGGTCTGAGATGCTGCCCATGACCCACCAGGACGTGAACAGAGTCACTTAGACTAAAATACTGAATGCTCATGAAAGGGGCTAGTCTTCACCATGGCCACATCTGATTTAACAGGGAATGCCGTTTCTCTAGCTTGGTGTGTTTTTCCTAGGTGTGTGTGGTGGGGAAGGGGGACATTTCCAGAGCTCTCCAAGCAAAAGAGTTTGGAAAAAGAATTATTGTGTTTGTTTTGCTGCTTTCCCCAAACCTGTAAACAGTCCGTGTTGATCCCTGTACCAAAAACAAACTATAAAAACCAAACAAGCCACCCTCTACAGGCAGATGACACTGCTGCTTCTGGGGACATGCTTCCTGCAATTAGTGTGAGGTTGTTCTTCAATGTTCAGTGCAGAACAAAAGGCAGAGTTTATGTGCAGCCGGTCCTCCAAAGAGCACTCTTGCCTCCTGTTTATTTTCTCCTGTTTCAAGACTTCTTGCCATGATGGCATTGCTGGGGGTGTCCTTCTGTATATATGTTTCTCTTATTGGTTGATGAATAAAACGTTATTGGACAATAGAGGCAGGAAGATACGCAGGGACTAGGAGACGAGGAGAATTTTGCTAGGGGAAGGCAGGGAGAGGACTGTGAAGCTTACCATGCTGCCCAAGGTAAGCCACAGCCTTGTGGTAATACACAGATTAATAGAAATGGGTTAATAATTAATGCAGAGCTAGCCAATAAGAAGCTCTAGTCATTAGCCAACAGTTTTTATCATTAATATAGTGTCCGGGTGTTTATTTGTGGTTAAAGGATGGCAGGACCAAGCAAAACAGACAACTCCATCTTCAATAGATGGTAACTTCTAAAACAATGTCTACCCCCTCCCATGTTTCCCCCAGTTAACCTTGGCAGAGGCAGTCATACAGGCTTCTACATGTATATTACCTATGCAACACAAGATGGTCAGCCTGCAAGCTAGTTGGAGAAAACTTTAATCTCTAAAATTCCAGGAATCTTCCTAATGACTTGAAAGCTTAGAGATAGTACTGGCGTATGACTCAACAGGATATTCCTACTTCCTGGCATGTCATAGACGATTCATGTGGATCTGTTGCTTTAATAAATCAATCAGTGAATGAATGATTCATGCTATGAATGGCCACTGATAATATGCACTTTCCCACATCATCAACTCTTTATTCCATTGCTTTTCATCATTAAGTTGTAATTAAGGAAACACAAAGAGCCATTACCTGATTCTGAGTCCAGCTACTGCGACCACATTGACAATTATACTCTTGCCCATCTCTCACTTTGCATTTCCCATCTTCCTAAGCTGCTTTCCCATTTATTTTAAAAATAATGCTTAGTCCTAACATTCCTTTTAATTTCACTGCATGTATTTTCTTCTCTATCTGGACTGTAAGCTTCATGGTAGAGATTTTCTGAACTATTTCACTTAGACTTGTATCTGCAGTACTTAGAACAGTCTGGCCCACAGTAAAGGTTCTGTAACGCATTGTCAAATCAATAAGAAAACAATTCTATGTTCATTCTTTCCATACATCAGAATCAACAAATTACTTTGCTTCATTTGCCTCGCTAATTCCCAAAGCCCAACTCCCCACCAATAGAACCATACTGCTTCCCGGCATGAGCATTGGACATCTACATTTTTAACACGGAGTCTAGATGACTGTGGTGTAACTACTGTGTGTGACCAGATCATCCCTTCACTAGCCCAGAGACGATCCTGAGACCTGGATATCAGAAGTCTCGAATGGTTACTCAGTGGTGCCCCAAGTTTCATTAGTGCTATTCTGAGCTTTTGTAAATTGCAGTTGTCTATGAATGTGCATCATTTTGTTGGTATGTTTCTGTCTATCCTCTTGGTTGTTGCCATGAACCAAGCTATGGCTTTGGAACCTTCTTTGTGTTGGGTCTCCTTGGAATGGCATTAAGTTTAGGTAGTGAATGACTTTTGTCTCAAATGTTACTTTCGCACAGAAATACCAACCTATTGCCACCCTAATTAAACACTGTGTCCTTTCTAGCTCCTAGACATCATTGAATGGACCACCCAGGAATCCTCTCCTCCAAAGTACCTTCATTACGACCCAGAAACTGGTCGTCAGATCCTGTGTGACAAATGTTCCCCCGGCACCTACCTAAAACAGCACTGTACAGCGAGAAGGAAGACACTGTGTGTCCCTTGCCCTGACCACTCTTACACAGACAGCTGGCACACCAGTGATGAATGTGTGTACTGCAGCCCAGTGTGCAAGGAGCTGCAGTCCGTGAAGCAGGAGTGCAATCGCACGCACAACCGCGTGTGCGAATGTGAGGAAGGGCGCTATCTGGAGCTGGAATTCTGCTTGAAGCATAGGAGCTGTCCCCCAGGCTTCGGGGTGGTGCAGGCTGGTAGGTATCTGCTATAATGCACAGAGAAACCAATTAGGACCATGCAAAGCCAGACAGTAGCTACTTTAGGGGACACTTGTCCTGATAAACGGTAACAGTACCTGCTCACAGTGTGCTATGTATCTGGGTGGTTTCTAAAGGACCTTTCTCGAAGGAATACTTTGCCACTACGGTGTAATTTAGTGAGGGTTCTCAAATGCAGCAAATTAGTCCCTAATGAGCTACATGATGGATTGTTCCGTTTTTAAAGGCCTGTCGTCTGAGTTGCACCATGAGTAGCTGATATACACCACCCTGTCTCACTTTGGCGTGGACAGATGCAGATTGCAGGGCTTTCTGACAAACATCAGAAATGTTAATCGATACCAAGAGAGTAATTATACTGATATTAATGAGACTCTGGAGCACGAACAATGAGCAGTTATAATTAATTATGTAAAAATGGGAATGGCTAGGGGAAATACATCTCATTATTAAAAATGAAACTGGTTTCTCCTTCTGGCATGGGAGTCGAATGTTTGGGAGGATAAAGACAATAGCAAACCTCTAACCAGCTATTCTTTATCTTAGACAAAACAGACTGTCAAGCCACCAGGAAGTCCTCGTATATAAACAAGTACTTTCTCTTCTTGCGTTCCCAGCAGCCTGGGCTGGGGCTAGTGAAACACTTTGAAAGCTGAGACCCCTTGTTCTCCTTTTCCAGCCCATGCTCAAAGTGGCCCTGTAGACTATAACTGCTTGTCACTTAGGAAATGAACCCTCTTGAATTAAGCTGGGCCATTCTCTTCCGTGGGGAGGTTTTCCGGTGCCTTTCTAAGTCCCAATGAGGGCTTATCAGCACCCCAGGTATCTCACAACTGGATACCAGGTACAGGACTGGTTGAGAGGTCATAGCATGTGTTTTCCTGGGTTGGGAGGTCATATTATGTGTTCGCCTAGTATGTCCGCATTACTGTGACAAGTGTAGATGACAAGTAATTTTAGTTTGAAGGCATACACCAAAAGCATATACTCATTGCTTGTAACAACTTTAAGTTTGGATGACAGGTACTTTCAGTTTGAAGGCGTACATCGAAAGCATATCCAACTAAAGTCAGGTATAGCAACAAAGGCCTGGGTTGTCCCATCTCTAAAGACACAACCAGGACAGAGACATGGTAGAGGCTAACCAACAGTATAGCCTAGGCTATGGAGTGAGACCATGTCTCAAGCAAGGCAACAAACAAAATCCCAAACAAAAACTTGTAATCTATTTAGTCTCTTTTGTAGCAAATCTTTAAAAGAGTGAGAACCGTAGGAGAGCCCACAGTAACCCTTCTAGATGAAGCATTTGAAGGAGAAAGAACTGCTGTGTCCTACTTTTTATTGGGTGACACTTTGGGACTCAAAACTATCCCCACCAATACGGAGAAAAACTCAAGCAAGCCTACTTACTCCAGTGCAGTGAGTTCTGTCCATACAGAGAGGTAACATATGCAAGGACGGTGTAACTCCAAACCTTGAAAATTGTGGAAACACCAGAAACAGTGAGGTTGTTGCCCTCACCGGCATGAAAATACTTCTGAGGGGTGAACTAAGTCAGAAGGCTTAGAAAAAGGCACATGGTGGAGTTTATTCAACTTTTCCTTTCCAAAATCCTGCAAGGCGGTTCTGCCTGGGAAAGAAGAGGTTTGCAGGCCAAGGGGAAAGAAAGACTGTGGTATTATCCCACAAAATGTTTGATAACTATTTTTGTTGTTGTATTGAGACCAAGATCGCTTCATCATCTTCTCTTCATAGCTGCCTTCTGACCAGCCCTCTACTTCCTGTTACTGTAGGGCTGTCAGAGTGAATTGCAACTCATTTTATCATTTTAGGGGTTTGCATTTTGCCTGCCAGACTAGACATTTACTATTTCTACTGATCCCAACAAGGCAAAGTCATTACTTAGATGGCTCCATCTTTTTAAGGCACCAAAGTGTTAGTTTTAAACAAAGTCCCGCTCAGCGATGTCATTAGATGCAGCCACTAAACAGACATAAACTTTATATGTCATTCTTGTCTTCTTCCTGGTAAAGAAATGAAAAGGCCAGTTTGCCTGAGAAACTGTTTCATATATATGACCTTCTTGTTAGGTGACATCAGAATAATCAAGCCACAAACACGCACCCAAAGAATGACAAATTATCTTTCTGTGTAGATAATGTGGCAATGAGCAAGTGGATTCTTGGGTCCACACACTCAAGTCATTTATTCTCAGTAAGTTGGCAGACTGAATGCTGAACTATTTCTGATTTACAACCTTGCACAGTTGAGTGTGGAGTAGGGTTCCACTGAATGGGAGGAATATAGGACAGTATACTACAAACTAAACGAAAATGAATTCCCCCTTTGTTGTGAGGGTGATTTTTAAGACAATGTCCCCGCAGTGTTGAAAATAGCATTTATGTGAGACTTCGAGCCTGTGGTTTCTCCTCTTCCTTGTCTCGCTAGTCATTTTTACAGGTCAGTGAATCATCAATCTTTTTATAAAGGAAGAGACAGTGGGCTAGACTAGAACCAGTCTGTTTCATTGCTTTCTTTCCAGGATGGGTAAAAGACACGATGAACTGGGGGGTGGAACTTTTTAATAAATGAAATTTAATAATTTTCTGTAGCTTCCATTTGTCTCCTTTGTGTCTGTTATCTTGCATGAGCCAGAGTTGGACTGTGCAATCTACATTTGAATACTGAAGTCTAAATCTGTTCAGTCAGCTTACACTAGATGGAGATATTTTCATATGCAAATATACTATAATGTGTGCTGTGTCCATGCATAATTGAGTCCAAGGTTTGAATATATTTATTTTCTGTGGCATCTCTATTGAAAGTCTCTTGGTTAGAGGTTTTGCAACCAGTGATGTCTTTGAAGACATTAAATGTTTTAAAACCATGAAGTAAAAATACCCTTGTGTTTACCCTCCTGAAAGACTTAACGACACGCTTTACTCAACGCTGTAAACAAATGGCATATCATCATCATCATCTCTTTATTATGTAGCTCAGTGTCAGACTTACATTGGTTGAGTCAGCAGTCAACTTTACCACCACCTTCAAGAGTTCACTATACCATGCCGTTCTCAAGGTTAGCACGTTTCACAATTAGGAGCTCGGAGAGAAAGAACTTCTGTAACAAATGACTGGAATTTAACGATGCAATATTCAATGGGTGCTGATTTCAAAGAGTGACAGTAAAGCAGACATGCGGCAGTTATCTTGATGATTTTTCCAGGAATAATTGCGCAAAGAATACTCTTGACAAGCCTCACTGGCACTTCAGCAGAGACAGGACTAATGAATATATCCCACTCTCCTGTCTTTTCATCTCCCATTTCAGAGCATTTTGTAGGTAATGGCACTACAAACTTGTGTGGGTTTTACAAGAAGGGGAAAGAGCCAGAGGGGAGGACTGTCGATGTTTTGTTGTCTTTGTCTAATGGGGTGAAAAATGGAAATTCTGAAACTTTCCTGTAATACGTGGTAGCCGTAAAAACTCAGTGAAAACTCAGTCCAGAACTGTGCTTAGATGTTATCTGCAGAGAATGGGTTGGGGACGAAGGCGCTAAATTGCTGGGCATTTTCCACAGGAACCCCAGAGCGAAACACAGTTTGCAAAAGATGTCCAGATGGCTTCTTCTCCAATGAGAACTCATCGAAAGCCCCCTGTAGGAAACACACAAACTGCAGCGCACATGGCCTCTTGCTAATCCAGAGAGGAAATGCATCCCATGACAATGTATGTTCTGCAAACAGAGAAGCAAACCCAAAATGCGGAATAGGTAATTATACCCCAAACCTCACTGTCTTCTTACAATTTCAGTGTATCTTCCTCCTCTGAGAGGAACACAATTGCCTTTCTTGACTCTTAACCTGCCTGACAGTTGCTGAAAACTCAAAAAAAAAGTCCCCAAACAATTTGTGCATCCTCAATGCTAACAGGGCCATCTAAAACTCCCCAACTCTCCCCTCTGCTTCCACACTAAAATCAAGTATAGCCCACTGGTGGTATCAAGCTGATTGCTTGTGCCCAAATGAACAGACTTCAAATTGTAGAACTAACTTACACATTTTTGATTGAAAAACAAAAGATTTTCTAAGAATGTTCCAATTAGCGGAAGTATAAATTGGCAACTAATAAGCAAAACGTCGTAAACTGATGAGAAATTAGAAATGAAAACTTGTCTTCGTTAGCAATCGTATCCACAGCTTCATTGCGTGGAAGCTGCAGGATTCTTTGGTTGTATTAAGTTCTTCGCCTGTGGTCCCCACACTTAGATGAAACCATTCCCTGGTGGTGATGGAATTGCTGAGTCACTGTGGGACTTACACACCAGTGCTTCGTGATTTTTAAGCATCAGGGGAAACAATAGCACAAACCAACATGACTCTCTCAAAAAGTCTTTCTCGCTGTTGGTGGCACACGCCTTTAATCCCAGCAGACGGATCTCTGTGAATTCGAGGCCAGCCTCGTCTACAGAGCAAGTGCCAGAATAGACTCCAAAGCTACACAGAGAAACCCTGTCTCGAAAAAGGAAAAAAAAAAAGCTTTCTCTACTACATAGAAACATGAAGTACAGGATGGACACAGGCATCTTTTATAAAGTTCCAAATACTTCCACTGTTTTTTACTGTGTTACCAGATATCTTAATTTATCCTTTATTTTCTCTTATTAAAAAATAAAATGAGTGAGAGGGTAATGAAAAGAGTTAAGTTTTGCCTTAAAATTCTGAATTTCAGCTTTTTTTACTATTACTATTTCTATTACTATTACTACTACTACTACTGCTACTACTACTGCTATTATTATTATTTATAATTATTATTATTTTGTTGGAAAGTCTCCGGGAAATGAAAATGCTCAGTGAGTCTCTCTGTTTTCCACTTTCCTACAGATGTCACCCTGTGTGAAGAGGCGTTCTTCCGGTTTGCTGTTCCCACCAAGCTCACACCGAACTGGCTCAGTGTTCTGGTGGACAGCTTGCCCGGGACGAAAGTGAATGCGGAGAGTGTGGAGAGGATAAAGCGGCGACACAGCTCCCAAGAGCAAACTCTCCAGCTCCTGAAGCTGTGGAGGCATCAGAACAAAGACCAGGATGTGGTGAAGAAGATCATCCAAGGTACCGTGGTCTCCCGAAGTAAATGAGTCAGGCGACAGAGACACAGAAAACACGAGTGGGCTGCTTGTCCACGTAGTGGGGGCGGGTGCTTCTCCCCCTGGAGTCATCACGGAACTGACAGTCTCCTTAAGTGGTAGTGTAGATACGATTGCTGTCGCAGCTAAGGAAGGCTCTGTTATTACCTCCCCATAGATTGAAAGAAGGGACCCATATGAAGTATGTATACTCTTCAGGATATATAGTGGAAAGAGTTTCAACTTCAGTTACCATTTAGGAAGAAATGCCACAGAAATGAAGAAGTGTTTTCCTAATGCAGACAGCGTGGGGCAAAAATTACTCTCCTCTGCCCTAGTATCTGATGGGGGTAAAAACTACCCTCCTTTACCCTAGCATCTAACACTTTCCCTATGCTACCCACAGAGCATCAGACCTGGGAAGTCAGAACAATAGATTTTAGGAGAATTACTCCTCCTTTGACAGGCCAGTGATTTCACTCACTCAGGGTAAACTTTTCTTGTGTTTCTGGCAAAACAAAATTATTCTTTGAACCTATAATTAGCCCTGAAGCAAAAAATATAAAGAAATGGAAAGTTAAGAACTGTCAGTATGGGAAGGGACCCAGTTCCCTGTTTTATAAATGAGAACACAGCAGCCCAGAACGGTGAACGGAGTTGCCTTAAGGCTCACAGACAGTAAATGACTCATGTCGTTAGTAGAGACATTAGTTACTCCCTCTCATGTTTATGCCCAGGCTCGGTGCTGAAAAGCCCTCCAGGCTATGTGTTTGCTGTTCTTGGACTCCTGTTCCTGCCTTTGCGTATCTGCCTCACTCTGGTGCTTCTCCAGTGCCATGTATATTTATTAAAGACTAGTTAAAGTGTCTCTTGTCAAATAGGGCCAAGGTTAGATACCAACTCGTGAAATTTCCATTATCATATAAAGAACCTGGATACTTCTGGGGTTTTTTTTCCTTCCCTGAAATGCTGTGATTTTAAAGTAGCAATTTTTTTTGCTTGGAGAGTTGAAAGCCATGAGTCAGTAATTTTCCACTGTTCACTGTCAAAAACCGAAGTTTCTCACAAGACTGTTGTTGGATGTTTCAAAGTGATTGTAGGTTATCCCATTTTAATATAAAACAATGCCATCTTAGCACTCAGAAGTAACTAGAGCCACTTTGGTCACCTAAGGAAGTTCAGGAAGAGCTTATCCTTAAAATGAAGTTACTGATAGTGTGAGAGCATCTGTCTGGGGCCTTACATGACTGGGAATGACATGAGCATCTCTTTGCTTCATACAGACATTGACCTCTGTGAGAGCAGTGTTCAACGGCATATCGGCCATGCCAACCTCACAGCCGAGCAGCTTCGAATCTTGCTGGAGAGCTTGCCTGGGAAGAAGATTGGCCCAGAGGACATCGAGAGAACGAGGAAGACTTGCAAACCGGGCGAGCAGCTCCTGAAGTTGCTCAGCTTGTGGCGGATCAAAAACGGAGACCAAGACACCTTGAAGGGCTTGATGTATGCGCTCAAGCACTTGAAACCATACCACTTTCCCAAAACTGTCACCCACAGCCTGCGGAAGACCGTCAGGTTCCTGCACAGCTTCACCATGTACAGGCTGTACCAGAAGCTGTTTTTAGAAATGATCGGGAACCGGGTCCAGTCAGTGAAAATAAGCTGTTTATAACCAGCAATGGCCACGGTGCTGTTGCTTCAGGATGGGCCAACTCCAATGGAGGAGAAGACTGTTTCTCAGGCACGTAAACAGGCACAGTTATCCCTTTCTCATCAACGGTGGGAGTGAAAACAACCCCCCCCCTCGACTCCCTATTAAGAATATCGAGGACTCTGAATGGTCAAAGTGATGCTGGCTATTGTGTAACTTTGCAAAGCCAGGTGTTAGCACAGAACAGCAGGCATGCTGCTGATTGACAGCAAGAGGGTATTATTTATAACCCCAAGCATAGGTCCCTTCCTTCCTTGCCATTTCATGGCTGGGTAACCAGTCAGAAGGCTTCTGCTATCCTACATGTCACCCATGTCTTCTTCATTCTCTGTCATTTGTCTATTATGTTCTTGTCTCATTTGCAAGTTCTTAGACAAGCTTGACTGTTGTTTTTCCCTCTGAAGCTTTAATTTGGATGGGGGGGGTTGGGTTGGCTCGACAAGCAGGGGTGAGCTTTGGTAGTTTATTTAGCAGACTGCTGTCAAGAGTCTCATGCTCATCTGTAGTTGGACCTAAGATGACTCAAAGTGCTTTTCTTTTGAAAATAATCACCCACTTTTATTTTTTACTCCAAAAATGACTGCCTGTGTTGCAGGGCACTAGAAGAAACTATGATGCGGAGAAAGAATTGGTATCTCCTCCAACATTCAACAAATCCCCAAAAGTTTATCCAGCTGTCATAGCTGTTCCAGTATCTATGTGTTCTCTTATTACTGCTTGCAGTAATTCAACTGGAAATAATAATAATAGCAATAAAATCCAGGCTCCATCGAATCTCTTGGAATATGGGAATCTCTAACTTAAATAGCTCTGAGATTTCACTTGTGTTAGAGGCTTTTATTAGAAAGCCAATGTTCTTCTGTAAAAGTTACTAATATATCTGTAAGACTATTACAGTACTGCTATTTATATTCATTCAGACATAAGATTTGTACATATTATCATCCTAGAAAGAAATGGTGTAAGACTTAATTTTAGAAAGAAAAAATATATTCTGTTTATTGTTATGACAAAAGAGATAAAATATATTTTTAATAGAAACTTTGTAGTGTTTTCTAATAGATGCTGCCAGTTTTCCAGCGTGGAATGTTTTTATAATATAATTTTATCTGTGTAATATGTAATATCATTTTATAGAAAAATACATTATATAGTCAGTTGTTTAATGACAGAAACTGTATGAACTATAAATTATCTGAATATTAGATGCTCTGAGAAATTGAATGTACCTTATTTAAAAGATTTTATGATCATGTTATATAAATAACATCATTAAAATTTCAAATTATTTTTCATTTCTTTTCCTCTTGCTTTTATTTGAATGGGACGTTAATGGGCTTAACACACTCACAGTTTCCCTTTTCATCTTTGGTCATCACAAACGTCTAGGAGTTCTTTAGAATGCAAATCCCTGGACCACACTGTTAAAAACTCTAGGGATGAGCAAGTGTGGTGGTCCAGGACAAGCTCGAAGTAATTTTTCCCATACAAAAGACTGGAGAATTTCCGCAGTAAGGATTTGTGAATATGTGGAACAAGTTAAAAGTGATACCACTAACATCAGGAGATCAAACTAAGTACTTCTGGATGCAAGCAAATGAAAATGGCATTCCCAAGTTCTTTAAAAGGAAGAAGACTTTAAGTGGAAGGGTGGTATATTTATTGGGTTACAGGTGGTCCTCAAATCTGTTCATTTATATGTGAATGCTAACCTTATTTAGAAAAAAATAAAGAACTTATTGATGTAATCAGGTTAAGGGTTTTGAGATGACCAGATAAAGACCCAGTGGTGAGGATCTTTATAAGAAATGCACAGAGTGAGGAAAAAGAGAAGATGGTGTGAATGGGTACACCCAAGAGTCAAGGAAGCCAGGAGTGGTGCCACACAGACAGCCTCTCCCAGGACCCTGGGTGGGCTAGCGGGCTAACCTCTGCCCTGTCCTCTATATGTATGAGGAACAGCTTCTGCTAGTCCCAATCATCCCATCGGTGACGGTTTGTTAAAGCACCTAGCAGAAATATAGAGGTGGCATCTGAACTTCAGAAAGGATGGATCCGTTTGAGTGGGAATTTGTAGGAGGAAGCCTGTATGCCGCCATTAGCCATGTGACTTACTAGAAGCTAAAAAGGGGAATTGTAGTAGGAAGCCTGTATGCGCCTCTAGTAAGTCACACGGCTAATGGCGGCATACAGGCTTCCTCCTACAGGAATTCCTATTCTTTCTCCATTCTTACAGGTCTATCCTCCCATTTAGCATCAAGTTCCCAAAAATGATCCCAATTGTCTTGCTCTGGGACTGATGGAAAAGACAAACCCAGATGATGCTCTGCACTAGTTCATCAATTTCATTGTCCAAGAAGTGACTTTGTGAGCAGGGTCCACCCACCCCTCTTGTTTTCTCTCATTTCGTATCACTTAAGAATGTAACACCGACACAAATTCCATCTGTTAATGGCCAACTTCATAGAAGAATAGAAGGACAGAGTGGGTTAAGCGCACACAGGCTCTTAAGAAAAAAAAAACCAGAACAAAAAAAGACAAGACAAAGTCGAGTGACTTTGAGGAGTGGGACTTCACTGTTGCCACACTAAGGCAGAGCTGTGGAAGTCAAATATTGAAGGATGAGGCAAGAGGTCAGGGATTAGCTGGGAGTCCACATCTCCTCCTTGGGAGCTCTAGTCTGTCTACTGAATATCTTACTGCCAGAATGAAATGGTCTACATCACTAAGCTTTAGTCTGAAAGCTAAAGGCAAAATTACTGTTTTCTATTGGATGAGCCTCCCTGGCTGCTTCTTTGGGCTTGTTTTACTCAAAGTTTTTTCTTTTCCAAAAGATAACTTCCCATTCTTATTGCTGTCTCCCTTTTTATACTTTTAATTCTGAAATAAAATAGCCTTTTCTTCACGTCTATAATCAGGTCATTTTTTCTTTCATTAAAAATGAGTTTTAGAAAAAAATGTGTTTAGGGGCCAGTAAGATTGATTTCTCATTGGGTAGAAGTGCTTGTCCCACAAACCTGGTGACTGGTTTAATCACTGGAACCCAAGTACAGGTGGAACGAGAGGATCCACTTCATGCCTATGAGTCCCATCCATCCGTCATGCACACACACAATAATAATTAATAACAATTTTAAAATAGCATTTCAAAACCAAGATCTAGGTGCTAGGTTCATATTTGCCACTGAAATGTCAGTATTTCCGGGCCTTTCTCAAGGAAAACAGTAAACACATACATTCATATTAATATATATAAGCACATACATACATATTCTCATGAGCAAATATACATACATACATACGTACATATTTGTACATGGTGTGTGTGTGTGTGTGTGTGTGTGTGTGTGTGTGTGTGTGTACATGGATATGTGCAGGTGGCCCGAGGCATCAGATTCGCAGGGTTTGAAGTTACAGAAGGTTGTGAGAGTCCTGATGTGGATGCTGGGAGCCAAAATCAGGTCTTTGGAAGAGCAATAAGTGCTGGTAACCAATAAACCCTCTCCCTAGCCCTCTCTCCATGTATTTACTGGCATCTATAAATCTTCTTCAGCAATGTTTTGTCCAGATATTTCTCCTATTTTAATTATGTTGTATCTTTTCCAATTATTGCTTAAGAGTTCCTTATGTATTCTTGGTATAGGCCTTTTGGCCTCTACCAGGTTTATAAGTATCATTTCTCCATCTGTCTCTTTGTTTTAATAGTCTTGTTGTGAGTTTAAAACAGCAAAAATTTGAGTTGTTATTAAAAACACAAATGTCTTCTCTGTGTGTGGAATAAGGTCTCACTGTGTATGCTTGGACCTCACTACACAGGCCATGCTGGCTTTGAACTTGTAGTAATCCCCTACCTCTACTTCAGGAGTATTGGATTACAGATTTGGGTCATACCCAGGTCTCTGTCTCTGTCTCTCTCTCCCTATCCCTTTTCCCCTGCCCCCCCATGTGTACACTTTATATCCAAATACCCACACCAGATATAATTTTTTTTATTTTAGAAGCACTCTTATTTACATATCAATCCCCCATTCCCTCACCCTCCCATCCTCCCATGTTCCCCACTGATCCCCCCAACCCACCCCTACCCACTAACTAGGGATAGTAAGGCTCTCCACCAGGATGATCAAAGTCTTTCATATCATTTGGGGGAGGGCCAAGGCCCTTCTTCCTGTACACCAAGTAGAAATTTAACAGAGTTTCTTCTGTTTTCTTTCAAAGCTTTTCCCCCTTTTTAATTATTTACTTTTCTGCTACTTTTTATTATTATTTTTACATTCCAACCCCAGTTACTCCTCCCTCCCCTCTTCCTGCCTCCCCACATCTCACCCCCACCTATTCCTCAGAGGGAATAAAGCCTCCCTTGGGGGGTCACCAAAGTCTGGGAAAACAATTTTAGGCAGGACGAGCCCCCCACCCCCCACCCCCCCAACCCCCGCCACCGCCTCTGGAATCAGGCTTGGCAAGGTAACCCACCATAGGTAATGGGCTCCATAACATCAGTTCACATACCCAGGATAAGTCCTGGTCCCACTGCAGGCCCCCTCCCCCAAACAGAGCAAGCCGCATAACCAACACGCACATTCAGAGGGGCTAGTTCAGTCCCATGTCAGTCTCCCCAGGTGTCAGTCCAGAGTCCCTGAGCTACTGCTAGCTCGAGTCAGCTGTCTCTGTGGTTTTCTCCTTCATGATCTTGACCCTCCCTCTCTTCAAGTGAACTCCAGGAACTCCTTGGCTGTTCTTGGAACTACATCTTCCATTAGTTGATTCTATGATGGGAGTTAGGGTGGTCACTAATCTGATTACAGGGGAAGGCCCCTTCAGGCATCTTCTCCACTGTGGCTAGCAGTCCTAGATGGGGTCATTCTTGCGAATTCCTAGAGGTTTCCCTAGCATCATGTTTCTCCCTAACCCTGTAATGGCCCTCTCTATCTCTCTATCACGATATCTCTTTCATTGCTCTCCCTCTCCATCTCTCCCCCAACGTGGCCATCTCAATCCCTCATGTTCCCATCCCCCACCCCTTTAATTCAATTACTTTAAGAATTAGTAGAATGTGTGCTGAATTTTACTGGAGCGTACTTTGTGAAAGCTAGATTTGCTAATCGGGCTTAAAGTGGGTCTAGATCATATAAATCAACTTTGTGCTCCAAACATTTTCACCAGCTGAGTCATATATCGCTGGTCCATTTGCTTCCTGAGATAAGGAGTTTTATAGCCCAGGATGGCCTTGAACTTGGTATGTAGCCAAGGCTGGTCTCAAACTGCCACCAGATTACTGGGATTACAGGCGTCTAACTCCATTAACTCCATTAATTTGTTGACTATACCCTTTGATACCATAGTCTATTAATGATTGTCACCTTTTAGGAAGTCTTGGAATTGTTTTCAGTGATTATTCTGTTGCCTGGACATGTGGTAGGGTTTGTCTGTGTTGTTTGTTTTCACTTCTTTTCTTGCCTCTTCCTGTACTTCATTTTTTTTTTTTTACTTTTTTTAAAGCTACATTGGCAATGGCAGTAAGTGAGTAGGGGCATGAATGGCTTGTAGACCTGGCACTTATTTTTCTTTTCCTCCCTGTCGTTGGAACTTGAATGAAGGACTTCATATTAACCAACTTAATAATGGGACCTACTTGGTGATTGTAACACGAATAATAAAACCCCAGAGACAGATATTGGGGTTCAAGCCGAAGAGCAGAGAAGCAAAGCAGTCAAGTCACCAGAGAGTCCTTACCTCTACCAAGGCTGGAAGGGGGATCCTGTCCTCAACGTGGCTGGAGATTAATTGCCAGACCGGAGACCCTGCTCCTGCATTATAGTCCTCTCTAGGGCTAAGATTATAGATGTGAGCTCTGTTTTCCTTTTAGACTGATTCACTCTCTTGTGGCCCTGGGTGGCCTTGAACTGACAGATCCATCTGTCTCTGTCTCCTGAGCCCTGGGATTTAAGGTGTGTACCATTACTACCTGGCTTCTTATGGCTGTGGCTACCTTTTCATTCTGATCTCCAGGTAAGCTTTATTATGTCATAAACAATATGTCATCACTGGTAATTGTTTTTCTTCTTGCTACAGTTATACTCAGTGCAGCCAAGATTTCGCCTCTTTGTACATGGTGTTTCTTGGGTGGTGGCTGGCTGTACTCAAGAACAATGTCTGCTGAACTGAGTCTTTGGTCTTTCCCTGGAGCCTGTGCCTCAAAGAAGATTCCCAGCACATTCATGTGACCAATCTTTCTTGCTTCTGCAGTTAGTTATACAAAGCCTCTTGGCATCACCAGGGGAGTGGAAGGTACATGCAGTCTCTGATATTCTCATTAAGGCTCTGTATTAGGGATGTGTGTGTGTGGTCTTTGCAGTTCTTACAGCCATGGGCTCAGCATTGAATCCTGCCTCTTTTTCCAGGAAGACTTTTTCCTCTGCCTTGTCTGCTCTCAACTTTGATGAGTGATTACTGAAATCATAAAGCCCACAGTTTTTGTCTGTTTCCCTGATGGCTTAACTGTTTTGTTTTTCTAAGTAGGTGTTTTATTCTCCACTTAAAGCTACTGTTCCTCCTCTTTCTCCTGAGATGGTATGGCTCTCTGAGCTCTCTGGGAGCACACAGAAGAGTTCACCAAAGCAGAATCTGCCAGAAGAAGCCTCCCTTTTCTGTAGGCTTTGGAGATTTCTACAATGACCCACTAGCCTATTCTGGCTGGCTTCAGTTTTCACCTAGCTTAATTGATCCTCCTTGCATCCAGACACCTGTGTCCCAGAGAGGCTTGTGATGGATGTCTTCTATCCCTAGGGCCACGGTCTCGTCTTAGATTTGGGGACACTTATTTGTTTTATAATCTCAGGTCTCCGGTGTATTTTGCTTCTCATGAGTTTGAACTTGCATTCTCTGTCTGCATCTTCCAGTTCTGAGTCTACCACAGTGGAATCCAGAATGTATCATGTCAGCTTTGTTATTTAAGTGTGGATGTAGAAGAAAGGATTGGAATTAAAAAGTATCCCAATGAGTCTAGATCTGACATCTTCTTTGGGCCAATGGAGGAACAAAGATACGCTGTAAAGTATTCGTGATAGTGTCATATTAACACTATAGTGTTAATGTAAAGGAATAATATTTGAAGTCTTTATTCCATATGTGTCAACACAACATTCTATGAAGCTTTTATTAGCATAACCTATTCTCCATTTTACCTATGTTAAGCCATATTAACTATGCTACCTGAAATGTTTTTTGTTATATTAAAAAAAGGTTCTCAATGACAAAGTATTCAAGAGGACTTTATAATCAACTCTAAGAAAGGACATAATTACAAGCCATTGCTGCCTTAATACCTACCTAGTCTTCCTTTGTGTTGCTTTTTATAACTATGCCTCTGCCTCTCTCTCTGCCTCTGCATCAATCTTTAAAACAACATCTCACTCTGTAGATTTGGTTGTCCTAAAACTTTCACCAAGTCTTCTGCCTCTGCCTCCAAGTGTTGTGGTTATATATATATGTGCCATTGCACCTGGCCATAGTCCATTGATACAATCTGACATTGGGTAGCGGTCGCTATCAAGCACAGGCTATCTATCTGTGACAGTTGACATGAGTGTGACGGAAAAGGAAAACCCAGAGAAATGAGAAATGTTAACTCTCTGCTGCTAATACAGAGATCTCTGGCCCTGGAACTGTTTCCTTTTTGATATACTTAATTTATTTGAAGTTGCTTCTTGAGTTGAATGTAATCTAAGAAATGCACTTCTATTATTCTCTTCCTGTAATCCAGTGTCTGTTCCATGTCAATTGGATGTAGCTATGACTGCTGATGTTGACCACTGGGCTCTAATTCTTTATGGCTTTCTTGCTTGGCTCTCCACTCCCCTGTCCCTGGCTAGAAAATTTTTAAAAACATATTTGACCATCATAATAACCAGCAGCAATACTGTCTGGAACTGAGCTTAAATGCACCTTTTCTAGAAATAGTTCAGGGTCTTTGTGTAACTGACAGAACAATACAACATGTACAAGTCCTATTTGAGTTTAACAAACCCAGAAAAGTCATCAAGTGTCGTGTCTGAACCTCAGGGAAGCCCCAAACAGGTCACTGCAGCTAGACCTGCTGGGAAACTATAGTATAGAGCTATAAAGAGGCATGTGTGAGATGTGAGAAATCGCACAGGAAAACTTCTAAAGCCTGAAGCACATGGCATGTTGAGTACACATTAGCAGGACCCATGTGGTTTCTATACAAATTTAATGGGTGGCATAAAATAAGCTTGTAGAACCCGATTGCTAAGGCACTGCATTATAATAGCTAAATCAATTTGTTTTGTTAATTCAGAATCTTTTTTTTCCCTCAGTGAACTCCTTTCCCTAGTATTACTGGCAACTAAATCCTATGATTCTAACTGTATCTGATAACCCTCAAACCTTCCACATTCCTCATTCAAGACATTTAAAACTTTCCTTAGGATCGAAACATTTGGTATTGCTTGCAGTGGACTTTTTGTGTTCAGTGACATCACAACGGTGTTAATATAAAATAAAACAAGGTTACAAAGAAATAGATGGAGCAGAGATTTAGGGAGAAAAGACAATGAATCCTGATGAGAGTGAAGTTCTGGCTTCTTCAATGATTAGTTTTGTGAATCATTAGATTTTTCCTTCTCAATCAAGCCAGTTTCTACCATTTCTAAATAAGAATTAAGACTACTATGTGGAGTAAATAGGTGGTTTTGAGAACAAATCAAAGATATTTGGGCTAGAGATCCCCCGTGTAATGTTAATGCTGCAGGAAGAGCCAATGGGATCATTTACTGTAACCAAAGTGGGAGCCACTGTGATCCTAAGACTCACATCGATTATTTCAAAAGAGAATTTTGGAAAGAATTTTCTGGCAGAGGAAAATAGAATGAATTGGAAGAGATGACATAGACAACGCAGACTAAATGTGGGAGTCCCGAATGGAATGGGGTTGAGTGTCAGATTAAAGGACAGTTCGTCTTTATGCAAGAGTCATAACAGGAGGAACACCATCCTTTGGCATTTGGTTATGACTAATAGATGGAGACTTCTGTCTTTTTCCAAGTGTTTAATACAAAATAAATCTCCCATTTCCTGGGCTTTTATGAGTCTTTTTCCCCCAGGGAAATCCAGCTCATCTTGTGAGACACAAGAGCTTAAGTCATATTTCCACAAAATTGTTGTAACTAACACAAAATGGCTTCCAGTTTGACATTTCTACTGCAACTTTGGTTTCTCATGTTTTACAGGCTTCTGAGAAATGAAAGTTTAAAAACGGGGTGGGGGAATAATGTATAAAATCTACATCATTCTCACAGAATATATGAGGCCATCTGTCCATCCTTCCTCCTTTGGTCCATCCATTCTAAAACTGTCCTGCAGAACTGTGACTTTTATTAGAGAGCATTAATGTAATGTCTCCATCCTTTACAAACACTTCTGACTTTCAGCTAGGGTCAGGACAGCCACCTTCAAGTCTTAAAGAATTCTACTCTGAAACACATTGGGAAAGATGATTCCCTTATTGGTAGGAACACCAACCCTTCAGGAATTTTAGAGCAGGTGTTGGGGGTAGTGAGGTTCTCCAGATCTCTCTGGCTATGTCCAGTGGCTCCTAAGAATCACATGGGGTGCTTGTTAAAAATTCATGTTCCTAGGACTCTTCCAAGCTGATTTTGATCGCAAGGATCAGAGTGTAATGTGTTGGATTCATATCAATTTAAGGGAACAGTTTCCTTCTTTATCTTCAGTCATATTAAGACTGCAAAGATAGAAATGAAGAGTTATCGATATCTAGGTACAAGCATTGATCTATATTTGAATGTCTGACCAGTTATGGTCACTTACTAAACACTCCTGTTTCTTAACTCTGAGTCCATTTACATTTCTGGAAAGCAACATTACATAAAGCTAAAACCCGGGACATCACTCGCTCATCTCCTACTTATTTACTACTGCTTCCTCCCTGACCTTGACACTCACAGTAAATGTCATTTGTCGAAACCTAACAAGGAGCACAGCCCTACACTTAAGACCATTACAGATATCTCATTAAATCTCAATGTTCCAATTATCTTACTCTCCTGACCTCCACTACTCATTTACTTTATCATCATCATTTCATTAAATCCTAACAGCTTTAGCAGCAGGTTACTGTGACATCCACCACCATTTGTTGGAATCTCTCCTACTATCCACTGCTTGGATGGGGCACAAAGTGTTCCTGATCTCATACTTCCAATTCGCTCAGACATTGTATAATATATCAACCATCACTTTTAATTTTTCCCTTAGATTTAAGCCAGGGAATTCAGGCACCACTTCTGAAATAGGGTAACATCAGATATGAGGAAAGAAAACATTACAAATCTGAGAATAACTATCCACAAATTCAGTAGTAATAGCTGTAAGCAGAAAACTCATACTATGCTTTTTAGAGTTTTGGGGGAGTTCTGATTCAAATTTTCCCCTCCAAGCAGGAGAATGTGTCACCTTGGATGGTGTGGAGAAGCATTTTGCCATAAACTCTTACATCATGGAAAAGAAACAGGGTTTGTTTACTACTAAGGGGAGATAGTAAAAGAAACAAACCTTGCCAATGCTTACAGAATAAATAAGTGTCTGTAAAACCCAAACCATTGAAGATGGGACTGGGAATAAAACAAAATTTAAGACCAGCAGACTGCCACTTTGGGTGTGAACTGGCACTGTATTATTTCCAAAGAATTTGTAAATAAACCCTATTGACTAAGCCACATTTTAAAAATAGGACTGTCATAATAAAGTGTCTCAAAAATAAAGTCTAGCAAGGCCTGAGAATACAAGGAAAATAAGTAAAAGGAGATGGCTTGGAATGAGACATAGCAGTTTTTCTCCTGAATAATTGCATCTTTGAGTCACTTGCTATGGGGCTTAGTGTGCATATCTGCATGACAGAGAGACAAAACCACAGAAGCTTAGTTGGACAAACTGTGAGTTTCTATCACTATGCTTTGTATAATAAGCCCTACTTATAAATTTTCTTTCTTTTTTTTGTTTTTTGTTTTGTTTTGGAGATGGAGTTTCTCTGTATTGTTTTGGAGGCTGTCCTCGAGCTCACTCTGTAGACCAGGTTGGCCTCCAACTCACAGAGATCCACCTGCCTCTGCCTCCCGAGTGCTGGAATTTTCTTACTTTTCAAAAGATGGATGCATGCAGGGAAGGTGGCTGGTCACCTCAAAAGGTGAATATGAGGACATGACTAAGAGACATTCTGCTAGCTGACTTGATTCCAAGTTGGAACAACATCT